AGACAGTATCTTATAATTATGAGATAGTATCTCATAATTATATCTCATAATTACGAGATAGCTAAGTCATAATTATGAGATAGTATCTCATAATTATATCTCATAATAATGAGATAGCTAAGTCATAATTATGAGATACAAGTTTTATTTTTTATCAGGGTGGCGGAAATGGGCTTCCACAGTACTTAAAGTAGATTACCAAAATAAATAAGTAAAATACTTTGACGCACACTTTTATGCCCACTAGAGGGCGACCGCACGCTTTGAGAAACTACTTTCACTGTACATCTTCAAAGAAAAAGAACGGAGGTGATGCATTTTGGGAAATGTAGTTTTTATTTGCACACGTTGCTTTAACAGTTACAGCAAAATGGCTTTCAGGACTACAGTTCCCATCGACAAAACGTTTTCAAGCCGGTGAGAAGAGTTCCCGAATGTCAAACGAAGCCGAAAGTAGCTCATCATTTTATCCTCTGCTAAAAACAAAGTAGGTACCGACATTTAGAGGTGATTGTTTTACGCAGTTAGATGGTTTTATAGATTTACGTGAGTTTGTATCAGAARACTGTGTTGTGTTGTAATAGTACAGCTTAAACAGGGTTATCATGAGCTCGTTTTTTTATGTTGATACAGTGTGCCTGATGGCTAAACTGTGAAAACTGATATATTATCGGACAGTATTCAGGACTTTACGGTAAAACCAGGTTTTATAAATATTCAATGAAGTACGCCCCTTAGAGAGCACTTTGTCCCATTTACAGGTGGATTATTTAGTTCATAACTTCTGTGTAAAACTTTTGTAACTTGAAACATCATAAAAGTTACAGGATATTGTTCTCACGTGTCTTCGTGGTAAATAACCTCACACACAGTTAGTTCAACTTTTGACTTGATTGTTATCGTCACTGGATTTGACAAGAAGTTTAAACTCAGGTAAGTAAACTTTGCTGAAATATAAGCCAAAAACCTGTTCCATCATTTGAGTTACCTTTTCAGGTGTTTTCTTTTTTGAACAGGGTGTTTAAGGTTTTGTATCTATAAACTAATTAAATTGTTTCTTCTATCACTTCAGTAACTAATGTAGGGTAAAATGATAACTTGGTCATACAGTATTTATAAAACGGGTTACAAACCACTTTCACAACCTGCTGTTTTGTGTTAATATTCCTGCAGATACACTCAGTAGAAAGCTTGATTCTAATCTATTTTAGTTTTACATGTATTTTCAAAAACTCCTGGTTTCTACTGAGAGCCCATGGTTTAGTTTATAAACGTGAGGAGTTCTTTAAAAGACCACCGTGCAACGTTTTGAAGTGATCAAAAGGTTTTTTCACGTAATTTTAAAAGTAAATGATTATTGTTTCAAAGCAAAAATAATGATCAGGACTGGGTGACGTTAGTGAAGTGAAATGTGTCATCTTTAAGATTTGTCCATCAGTGAAAGARTAAAAATGCAAAATAGTAAATTGTTTTGTGTTTAAATTAGATTGATTGTTTGTGTGTTTGTTTCAGTTCAGCCATGAGGACTCTTATGGGTAAAGCAGGGCTTTTAGGCACGATGTCGGTGGCCTTTGGCTCGATGTTTTGGTCACAACGGAAGACGGAATCAGAACCGAGCGCTTCGGATTCCCCCTCTTCTGACTCCGACCCTGGTTCCAGCTATGAACTGAAACTGGTCCAGGTTTTGTTCCGGCATGGTGCTCGAACGCCTCTGAAGTCGATCCCCGATGTGATGGAGGTAAAAACTCTACGCGTTCACTGTTTTTCAGCTCATTCAGACTTCCTGTTCGCTGACGTCTGTGTGCAACTCTTTGGTTTGGTTCTATGAAAGGCCCAGTGGGTCCCGACACTCCTGGAACCCCCACCACACACACACATGAACTACACGGTGACGGATCTGCAGGGTGGACCCAGGCCTCCGGCTCCTGTGGAGGACAGCTATCGGAAGAACATCCTGAGCGTGAGTAGGTGCGCTTTGCACCGCTGAACTGATTTCTTCTTTCAGCCTGTGAGAGCTTTATAATGCTCTGAAATGTGTCATTTTTTTACTCATACTGTTTGAAGTTTTCTTAAATTATTCATAAAAAACTTTGTTAAAGATGCCTATTTAGGCTTTGTTAGATACACTGAGGTTTGCTTCTTAAAGCTGGATTCTTAAAGGTGATGATAAAAAACGTGTCGTTCTTCTTTTCACATATGTTGTTGAAGCTGGGCCACATTTCTCAGTGCCATTAGAAGGAAGTTAAAATGTCTTGTTTTGTCCTGGAGCTGTTCGTCACATGGTGGCCTTGAGAATCAAACTACTTTCTAAGTTTGAAACCACTGACACATAACGGCTGCTGTCGGCTCATGTGCCACTTTAAACTTTCATATAAGTTTTCTCTCCTGTAGCTAATTGAGAATGACGTCTCTGCAGCCTTCATCTTCTTTGTTTTGTCTCAAAACTCCTGCATTCTTGATAATAATGATAGAACTGACCCCGAAGCTGGAGAAAAAGGAGACATAAAGGCTTTGTTTACTTGATAWGCACTATTTTTATACTTTATGTTAAAGTAGCTAAATCTATTGCATTACTATATAAAGTAAGGGAGTTGTTTAATGATAAAGCTTTGTAAAATGTAATGATTGTTCCACATTTGGTTTACTGTATTTAAGTCTGGGGGAAAGCGTGTAAAAAATTACAAATCCTCTAATAAAATTCATTGTGTCTATAAAATCAATCTACTACGTGTTCCTAATTACTAGACACTTTTTTATTT